CTGACAGAGCTGGAAATGCCATCAAAGGGCAAGTGTCCAGTTGCATAAAGGGCAGGAGAGGAAGTCCTCTTTCTTTTCGTGGCCTCATCAACAGTTTTCCTTCTGCATTTTCTTATGTGCCAGTATTTGCTTTCAAAGCTACCAAATGCAGCTTTTCAGCAAAGGAAATGAGATACTGTGGATCAGCTGTTATAGTCACCCATGCAGAATACTAGAAACACCAGAGATATTTGAAATATGACTGATCTGCCTACAATTGAATATAAAAGGTTTTCAACACAAATGCCTTGCTGAAATGAGTGCCAAATTAAGATGTTTAACTTCAGGGAAGAAAGAGCACATGAATGAGTGCTTGCTGAATTCTCCTGGTATTTTTAAGTCCTGTTGGAGATGTCAAGCAGCATCACATGACATGACATGATATTAAGCAGCATTCACAGACATGAATCTTCACTGCAAGTCACTCTGCTCAATACATCAAAAACTTCTCTTAAGGCATAATCAACCTCTGTGAGCAGGACTTTCCTCTACCAGGCCAGGTCCTAAACCTGGGTAATTAGCCAAGGAACATCCTCACCTGCATTATTCTACATCAGAGCTTTAGATCTGGCAAAATATTTCTAAGTCAGGCTAAAATACAACCTGTCTGCCAGATGCTGCAAACTGAGCAGCAAAAACACACTCTGAGTGCCAACCTTTAGTAAAAAGTATTTTTATGAGATTTAAATAAAAAAAGTCAGCAAATGTGAAAATTCAGTCATATGAAACCAACAGCACCCAGCAGACTGAGAGAACAAAGAGAGAACACTGCATTTTCTTTCCAACATTCTGGTTTATAAGCATAACCTGGTTGTAACTTTTGGGGACTTCCTAAATCTTTCCTCGGTTTTCCTACCAATTCTTTTACAATATGTACCAAGAAATTGGATATGCTCTACATATTGTATTAATTGTGGTGATTGTAGAAGATTCTGCCACTATAAACTGGTTTTCACATATAGACTTGTAAGAAACTTAAAGTACAGTTCTGCTTTGCAGGGGAATAGGCTGTCTATAAAGTTTTGAGGTTTTTTATTTAACTTTTAGGAAATTCTGATTCATAATATTTAGAGGTATTCGTAAGCTTGATCACTGCACATGACAAAGCCAAGTTTTGACAGCGTGGAAACCATGAACAAAAATGTTTTGTTCTTCTGCAGAGCGTGTTAAATCACCAGTAGGATGTTTTCCAATTATTTTATAGAAATTGTACAGATTTTTAGTTAAGATGCTTAAATGCCATAAATCAATCATGCCAGCACCATTTGTGCCACTGCAGTAAAGATTACATCAGTGTTTCCATTATAAAACCCCTATTTTTCAGGGGTTTCTAATTCAGCCATAAAAATTGGCTCTAGCCTGAAGTTTGGCAACCAAAATCACCACTTGGGAGTAATTCTTTTAACCATATTTTTTTTTTAATGGATTGGCTTTTCAAGATACAAAATAGTTCTGAAAAAGAAAATTAGTGGTTTCAAATTTTGGTGAATTTCTATCCCTCAAAAACATTGTTTTAAAACTGATAATTTTGCATGTCATATATCTGTAATGTGGACTGCTGCCTCTGGGTAATTTGGCTATAAGCAGTGGATAAAAATCACTGGTTTATTTAATTTTAAAATAAATGTAATTTTCCATGAAAACTTTTAATCCAATAAAACTTTCACAAACTAGTTTCTCATAGCAAGATGCGGTAGACCTTGCATGAGGAAGCCTTTATGACTCATTTACGCAGTAGCTATTCCATACATCTTAATTTTTGTGGCAAGAGGTACAAAATACCTTTTGTACCTTTTGTATTTTGATGCCTTGAATCAAATCAGCTCACCTCCTTTAAGACAACAATTCTGCCCTTTTGTAGTACCTGTGAACCTGACATGGTCCCTCACAAAGTTCTTTATAAGCACAGAAAAAAAAAAAGAAATACTTTTATAGCAGTAAAGCACCGAAACTCCTTTAAAATGCATTTTGTTTGAAATTTCATGTATTAAATACTGATTCTAACTCACATCTAACAGTCTAAATTTTTCTAATGCATTTTAATTTAAGATATAAGAATTACCAGTTAAGTTTTAACCTAGTTTAATTCTAACATTTAAAAAAGTTCTTCAGGTATTAGCTATTAATTTCAGTAAGACACCTCAAACCAACACCACGAACACGATTTGATCTTCAGGCTCTCAAAAGCTTTCTCATGAATGCAGGCTCAGCAAAAGGGAATTACAAGCCCGTTCCCCTCCACCGCCTGTCAGCAAAACTTGTCCACAGCACCGACATGCTTTGGACTGACTCCTCTGTGGAGTCTGAATTCCTAGTAGAATTTTTTTCTTAACTCATATTTAGGCAGGGAAAAAGAAGGTTTGGAAAGCCATTTTCGTAAGTTCTAAGAAGCTTAACAGCTCTTATGTTGTTCTTGGGGTTTTTTTTGGAAAAGTCATTTAAGATATATAATCACTGCTAAATTATAGCATTAGTTGCTTGAGGGGAGGATGCCTGGTTTATATTTAGCCCTTATGTCACCAGTGTCAATTTTTAATACTACACTTCTTGGCTTTTGTCAGTTTGTTGTAGAGCTGCATTTTCTTTTCTCAAAAGAGATATCTGCAATGAAAAACCATTAGAGATATTTGTCTCCTTCCCCACACCATTTTGTGATATCAAGTTGCAGCATATTCATACAATCCATACCATAAAAGCTATCACCTCCATATTTAACAAGTTTTTAAGGAAATTGTCTTTTGATTGCCAGAAAAGCAAAAATACAAATACTGTTGAACATAGAATACATTCACAGAAAGCCCAGAAAGCACTTTGAGACTTTTTTCCTCCAAACATCATACTACTTGTACAGGTACTCATAAATGTAAGAAGTCAGACAACAGAGAAAGATGCTACTCTTATTAGTTTTGGTATTTCATTGGCAAATATTGTAACTGTTATATTTGTTTTGTAATCAACTGATAATCTTTTGCATTAAAAATAAAACAAAACAAAACCCCAACCCCCCTAAAAAACCCCGTATGGTACCATATCTGTAGCACACACTCAAACCTAAATACTTCCCCTGAAAATTCAGTCTAGGAAGACTGTGTTTGGTAAGAAACAAAGAGACACTGGCACAGCTGGAAACTTACTGCAAAATAATTGCACTAGCCAAAGAGAGATGGCATGACAGGTAACGTTGCTCTTCAGCATGTAATTTGTCTGCAATGGCTTAGAAGTCCAATGAGTTTGAACTTGAGCACATTTGAAGAATCAGCAAGGTACTTTCTAAGCAGTGTTGGCTGAAACACGTGTAAGCCTGTGACTCAAACCACTATCTTGGCTGAGATGTAAAAGCTGTGTTCATTACTTTTTTTTTAATTCTATTTTTTTTAATAGTGCTAATCCGGGGTTCCCAGTCAAATTCCAAATCACAGTTACATGATCTGTGATACATACTAAAATTGTCTCCAGAATTTCAACAGTATGTGCATATCTGTCCTACCCTACGCAGTAATAATCCCATTCAGCACTTCAGATGTAAAATAACCTGTGCTGCTCTGGAAACAAAGTACCAATTCTTTATTTCCTGACAATATTGTATGTAGGTAAATTACTGTAGTATTCCACCATTAACTGGATACACTTTTCTGCTACCTGGAGCAGTCTTTCCACATCAGCCTTTAAGTGAAGCTGGTAACATTGTGAACACTTCACTGATTATTTCATTTGCAGACTAGGGTTGGAAAGCCAAAAACCAAAACCCAAGTACTTGAAATTTAAATTGAGTAAAACTCAATATTGAAAATCAAAACTATTTTTGAATAACCAATTTATATTCATTTTGCACATTACCTCACACAACTCAATAATCTCCAGTTGGGGTGACCAATATGTTCATCTTATAAGCCATTTACCAAACATAAGATCATTAAGATCAGGGCCCTGACTGATTTTTTTCCCACAGCTATGCACAGGGCAAAGAATTAGTAAAAAATGCTGATACATAACTAAAAAAAAAAAAAAAAAAAAAAAAGATAGAAATGGTCATGGAAAAAGAGAAACCAGGTACCTACACACTGCACAACAGCCATGGACTCTAACAGGAAATTGCACGGTGGTCCTAGAACCAGGCACAAAGAAGGATGAACTGTGGCAGGGAGAGGATGGAAGCAAAAGTGCACTGCATGCCTGGCAGCAGAAGATAAGGATGGAGACCTACACACACGAAGAGAGAACAGGGCACACACTGAAGGGAAGGTGTCCTGAAAATGCAAGGTCCTGTACAACGTTTTCAGGTAAAGACTCAAGCTTCATGAATTCAAAAATTCAGTACAGCTCACTGAGGTTTAAGGATGGTTTTGTTTATAAACAGGAAGCACGAGTTTGTTTCTTCAGGTATAGTATTCTCAACAGAGATCATTAGAATCTTAAAGCATGTGGCTACTAGTGAAACTAGTTAAGAAAAGAACCTGTTCAGCATCAATCACTTTAAAAATAAATATGCGCTCATTTGTGGTAGGTGATGATGTTTTCTGAAGAGGAAAAGCAGAATTCAGTTTTAGTCAGAGCCGATAGAAAAGATCACAGCTTATAGTAGGATTTACCAGCCACAGTACACCCTAACCAGAGGCACACATGAATTCCTAATTACTTTTTTCTGACTTACACAAAAACTATTCTCTTCTTTTAGCCAAAGGTCACTCAGTAAAACAATCATGGTGTTCATGTATGTGGGAACTTTATATATACATCTTAATTAGATCTTGCAAAATCTGAATTTAATTTTAAAGGCTCATAGTAATGATACATGCTCACATGTCTGAAGCAGACCACCTTCTTGAAGAAAGACGAGAAAGCATCAAATTAAAACAAGTATTCCTGTCTCAAAAAGCTGAGCAGACTGTTGAAGGAAAAATCAGTACTTTAATTTTAGAAATTGATACTGTCAATGCTTCAAAAGTTTTGCCACTACTTACCTCACTGCAAGGTTGTAGGATTCTGGATGAATACAAGTTTGGTCCAAAGGATTGGGCTGTCGCCAGGCACTTGGTGTTGGTTTACTCTTCTTTTTACCCAGAGCACCTGCTTTCGTCAAAAGTGCACGACTTCCAAGTTCAGGTTTCTTACTACTGCCAGAAATCAAAAATGGTCATGTCATGCTCAATGAAGATGATCCTAGGCCAGTGTCCATGCATGAAACCAACACACTTCTTCCCCTGAAGTTTCTCTTAAATAAAAAAATTGCTCAGAATACAGTAAAGGCATCAATGACTACTGCAAATACTCCTTTCGTGCCTCTCTGTTTGTTTCCTAAATCACAAGTAGTCCCTCCTTTTGGAGGACAAAGCAGAACACATTGAAGGACCTGGAACTAGCACTGGTACTCTGGATTCTACTCATCAATTGTTGACAGAAATGCAAACATAATTATCTCTTTCCATACCAATTTTTAAAATAACCAGTGTTTGTTAACTTAAGGAGAAAGCACAAAAATTATTTCATACAGCACTCTATAGCCACCAACATGATTATAAAGGACAAATATGAAACCTTCTTGAAATCCATTTCAAAAGTTTTCATTTTGTCACCTGGACCCACAAGAAATGTTCTGGAGGCGATGGTGTTGGAGCTTTATTTGGCCCCAAACTCCATTTCTCAGGTTATACGGTGTTCTCAGGTTTTATGGAATCTGACTAACATCAGAATCGTGCTCCAACAAGGTAAAAAAAAAAAAAATCCGAAACAATGTTCACATTTCATCAGTAAATATTTGTGGGGAAGAAAAAGCCATCAGCCTTTCTTCCTCTGTTGTATTCCAGCATTCACTAGAACACATCTGTACATGGTAAGACCTATCGATCATATACAGCCTTGGAAGCAATTTCTTTGGTCTTCTGGTGCTTACAGTGAGCACCATTTGGCCTGCAGCATATGCTTCCCTGCCAGATGGGCAACCAATCTGTATACCTTCCACCCGGGCAGTAAGCCAGTCCTAATGTGCCTACCTCCTGCCTGGAAGTTACGCCTGTGCTGTTTGGCCAGCAGCAACTGGGAATACAGTATTGCTTCTGAGCACTGGGTTGGCTAAAAAACAGCATGTGCTTCCCAGGAAAATATTTTCTGAGAAGAGCCACTGGCAAAAGGGTGGGTGCGGTGCTACCACTGTGCCCTTTCTTAGTTCTTTATTTTGGAAGGAGAAATGAGAAAGGCAGGAGAAGAGAAATTGTCCTAGAAAGGAAGGATTTCAGGTCAAGAGGATCACTAAGAATGGTTGCAAGTGGAAAAGACTTGGTACAGAATTAGGGAACGAGATGACAGGGATAAGCACGACCTACTGTTGAAAAACTGAGCTCACATATTTGAGACAGACGGCAGTCGCATCACGCTTGCTAGGCAGAGGAGTATAACAAAGACAGAGTTTGATCCAGGTAGCTATTCAACTTCCTCTCTCCAAGTTAAGGAATTGAAACTCTCAAAAAATCTCCACTAGTTTACTACCATTATGTTCTGCCAAACAATCTTTACAAAATTAAATTATTAATTTATAAATCTCTAAATCGTGCCTGAAACACAAGACTAAAGCTCTAATATCTCAGATCCCAATACTGCTGCATGACGAGCTTCTTCTACCAATTCAGTGACAGAATTTTTAACTACATTTACATATTTATTGAAAACCAGACTTAGAGGACTAGGCTAATAAGTCATGACTATTCAGAGGAAGAACTGTCTTCAACCATTGACTTCAACAAGTTTATTTCTCGTCTTTCAGAGCACAGGGGGCTAGGATTTCTTGAGTCTCAAGCCTGAATACAAAACAGAAAAGAGGAAAAAGTCGTCTTGTACTATTTTGGATAATATAGTCAGAATAGCTAAAATCTCTATTACCTGCAAAAGGTCTTTATATATTCTTGATTGAATCTGATGAAGCCAGCACACTGTTGGAAGGATTTGGGACCCAAACCTTTAACTTCTTTCAGCTGTTCTCGGTTTATAAACGGTCCGTTCTTCTCTCGCCATTCAATTATATTTTTAGCCCTGTTAGCATTCAGTCCTGCAATGTGTCTAAGAGAAAAGTTTACAAAATACTTTTATTAACATCAAATGTTCATTAATGCAAGTACTATCCATTACAAGGATACACATTTCTGTAGAAAAACTGGTTGACCAAACTTAAAAACTGCTAAGAAATAAGCAAAAAGTCACCCAGATCAAAGGCATCATCTGAAAAAGGATCCCTTCTCTTAGTTCTATGGAAGGAATCCACTCAAGCCAACAAAACTTAGTACAGCAATATGGTTTTGCACATGCCTAACTAGTAAGCCAGGGATGCGTAATTTACGATCTGTTGGCTATTTCTGTAACGCCAATTCAATTTGTCATGTCTTATGGCCTGCCCCCAGCTGCCCTCTTCAGGAAAACACGTGGGAGGAGAGTTCAGGACAGATAAATTGTTCCTGTACAAACAGCCCCTTCTCAGCTCTTCCACTGGTATCAAAACATCTTGCCCTGACATGAAGGGCTGATTCTGCTACCCAGAAGGAGAGTGGCTGGGAGCAGCTTGCCTTCCTCACACAATTCAACCACTCCACAACGCTTGTTGCTTTTCTCTCAGCTGTTCTTGAGATAAAAAACAGCTGGGAACAAGCTGCCTGAGTTGTTCTGAGGGTATCTTGGATCTGGCAAAGAACTTACCTATGAAGTGCAACAGTAGTTAGCCAAGTTCCTTCAGGAAGCAGTGGGTTTGCTGCACGTTTTCTGTATGTACATGTGAGTGCAACTTTCTGTGTATGGAGTATGCTAATCATAGAAAGAGGGAAATGAGCTCTCGTGGGCAGTTACTCATGGCACTAGAGAAGGAAATGTCACCCACTAGGTTCCATATCAGATGCCACCGCTTTAAGTCAACAGCAGCAGAGACCTGTTTGTGGAATGGCACGGACCAATTCCAGAAAAACACCACCAGCAAACCCAGTAAGAATCGTAAAAACTCAGGAGAAAAAAAGAAAAAAAAAAAAATCTTTCCGTTATTCTAATCCTCAAGCAAAAGTTAAAAAAATAATCCGAAGTTGGTGAAAGCTCAGAATTAAATTGAAGGGACACACCTTTAACCACAGTCAGAATATTAATCATTAGGAATGGAATTTTCTTCAAAAATTTCTTAGAAACATTATGAAATCTGGCTTATTTACACTGACAAAGGAACATCACACAGTTCACAGAATTTTCCACTGATGATCTCAAGTCTTTCAAGCACAATACTCACCAGTAATGCAAATACTGTAGCACTGTCATCCCTTCCATGTGTAATATGTGTCAAGAAGTATATTTGAAGTATCAGAAACCACAAGCAGAAAGCCCTGCTCATGGTACAATCTAGCTAGGGTGACAATTTCAAAAACTGCACATCTGAAGGAAACTTACACTGCACCTACACAGAACAGCAGAATTGAACTGCCTGAGGATCAAGTTAGATCCAGAACTCGATGCTGGCACATGCACATAAACATTGTAAGCCGGGTTAACTCGAACACACAAAGTACTTATTCAACATGGTTGCCACCTGTAACCATATCGGGACAGGGTCACACCACATTCACAGTTTTGTGGAGACTGCAGCACCTCAGGCTGATAGTTCCTCCTGAAGTGCACATTATAGCTGTACCCTGCAGAGAAGACTGCCAATGCTCACCCCTTGCATGAGCTCACGTAGGCTTTTATTCATGGAACGTGAAGCTATTAGAGACTGTCCAAAGGAGGGCCATGAGGATGGTGAAGGGTCTAGAGGGAAGACCTTATAAGAAGCAGATGAGGCCACTTGGTTTGTTCAGCCTGAAGAAGATGAGACTGAGAGGAGACTTTATTGCAGTACTACAGCTTCCTCATGAGGGGAAGTGGAGGGACAGGCACCAATCTCTTTGCTCTCGTGACCAGTGATGGGACTCAAGGAAACAGCATGGAGCTGAATCAGGGGAGGTTTAGGTTGGGTATCAGGAGCAGATTTTTCACCCAGAGGGTGGTTGAGCACTGGAACAGGCTCCCCAGGGAAGCGATCATGGCACCAAGCCTGTTTGAGTTCATGAAGCATTTAGACAGTGCTCTCAGGCACAGTGTGTGATTCTTGGGGTGTCCTGTGCAGGGCCACTGAGTTGGACTTTGTTAAGCCTGATAGGTCCTTTCCAGTTCAGCATACTCTATCATTCTGTTCTATGATTCTATGAATGAAAATGCATTTGCCATTTAAGTACTGCTTGCTTTCTTATTAGAAGTTGATCTAAATCTGAAAGCAGGTAAAATAGAAGAAATCAGACATCAGGCTAAGGGCTGGACATACAGAAAAAGGATATGGAAGAAAAAATATAAACCCAGAATGACTAGAAAGAGAGACTCTTCCAAAATATGAAAAGACGTTTTAAAGAATAAAAAGGGTCTAAAAGATTAAAATATAGAGCTAGCAAGAATACATGTTTCCTAACTTTGATACCTAATACAATTTTTACTACCAAGATTTTCAACATTCCTCTTCTTCCCCTCATACTATGGAGGATGATGCCAACAATTTTGCTCTTCTTAGAGTTTGTCATCTAAACCACAGTGAACTCTTCACGCTCAAGAAAGAATGAGCTTTTAATTTCTAACCAAGAAAAATAAAGTCCAGAACATTTTCCAAGTAAACATGGCATAACTACCAAAAAAAAAAAAAATCAGTAAAAAGGAATAAATTTTTCAACAGTTTCCCCTTAAATCTTTCCTTTTCTCCTTTCCTCGCCCAACTTTTACAACCTGTTCCACTTAGCAGTACCTATAAAAATACCTTCTAAGAGACAGAAAGTACATTTGAAAATCCCTTTCTCAGTGTAAAAATACAAATTATTTATATCACGTTTTTCTGAAATTGCAGTGTTGGCTCAAATATTTTAAATATCTGTTTTTCTCTGAAGAATAGTTCTACCCTGGAGAATCACACAGACCCTTAAAAACTGACTCCTAATGATTCAGTAAAATACTGTCTTACTGTGTCATTTTCATGTAATTGGAAGTTTAACACAAGAGCCATTTGCTCCAGCTGAGCTTGAGTCAGATGGCAGACTAAACAGAGACTCTCTGATCCAGAGCCATGTAATTACTGGAATAAGAAAATGTTTCACTCACCTTAACAGTATTTCTGAGCAGATGTTAATATCAACTCCAACAAAGCTGACACACTCTTCAACCACACTGTCCAGAGTTGCTTTGAGCAAGGTCTGTGATACGTCATGCTGAGAAACAAAAATGGAGATACTGGGTTACTGAAGTATCAAAGCATAAATAAATAAGAACTGCAAACAACACTAACATCAATAAAATAGTTGATGGAACTTATCTATATCTTATGTGAAGGTACTAGTTAAAAAGATGAATTGTAGAATATATTTTTAGAAGATCTCCAGTATCTCTTTGCAACATCTTTGTCATGGCACAGATCTCTAGAATAAAGACACTCTTCATGTCCCTGTATTGTTTTTAATACCTATTTCCCTGCATCTTGTAAAACCAAGCTGTATTAAACACATGATTACTCATAAGGAATAATGCTTCTAGTCATTCTCTATGTCTTGTCTTTAATCTGACATTTATTTACTTATAAAATCTGTTTATTAAAAATAAGATAATATTTTAAAAATAAAGATCACAAGTGCTGTACTTTTGCTCCTGCACACACAGACATTTGCAAAATTTTCCGATTTATGAGCATCACACAAAAGTATAGTTATTATTTACTAAAAGAACAAGCCAGGTATTGTATGAAGGTGGGAAATACATAAGGTCTGTATCAACCCCATAGCAACAGAATGTTTTAGATTTTGAACAGGTATTTCTAGGAAGATTGGCAGGTCCTTGACCAAAGCACCACTAATGGAAATTCTTCCAGTTTTTCCATTATTGTTCATAGTGTTTCCCCACTTTTCTCCTGAAAAGAAAATCAGTCACACTTGTCAAAGTTAAAAGTTCTGAAGCTCTAAGATTTCTTTTCCTCCCAAATGTAGGCATACTTTAGTCTGTAACTGCTAGATCCCCACACAAGCCCACCAGTGCTTAGAAGTCTGACCTGGAGGGAGAAGCCTCTCTAAATGCAGGAGCTAATTCAATCACTATGTTGGCTTAGCTTCAGGGCTCTTACACATCACTCATGTAAATCTGGGTTGATCTGCTGTGGTTTCATGATGCATTCATTTAGGACATCAAGCTGGATCCAAGCCAAGACACCAAAAACTTCTTCCACTACTTTGTTTTAGCTTCTAAGCCATTCAGATCTTTTAAAGATTTCACGGTTAAGTTTAACATGCCAACAGCACCAAGCCCAATCTACTAATACTGGTAGTTCATCAAACAGTGCTTAATAACCCAAAAAAATCGTAGGTAATGTATTTCGTAGCTCCCTATTTCAGGTAATGTGATGTATTTTTCTTGATGTGATACATATTAAAGTTACTTACAAACAAGAAGCTCGTATTTCTGCAATATTACTCCTCCTATATAAACATTGCATGCAAAAAAATATGTACAAGTACCAGCATTTGCACACAGTCTTGATCTTACAGCCACAAAGTTTACTTGCACACTTGGCAGATCAAACATCAGTTTCTACTTACTAAAGTGCTGTTACTACAACACAATAACTTCTTTTTTGAATAAAGAGATATAAATAAACCCCCATACCCTTAAATGAAGTCCAGTATTTCTATTTTCTGACTTACTGAAGATGTAGCTTCTCTTAATGAGGATCTTCTATATGTGCCCTCCTCCTCCTGGCACCAGCTGTGTAATATAGTAGAGCTACAGGTTTCCACCTCTCATGCATGCTCTTGCAAGGATGAATTTATATAACACAGCACAAGAAACAGAATAAACTGCTGAGAAACAACACCCACATCTTCTCTTCTCTGCCAAGTACAGCTGCCAAATACTGGGCTAGGTTTTTCATTACATTTTTAATTTGCAGCTCATTGGAAGATAAAGATACTAATTTATTTTTTTTTTTTATTATTGTGATTAATTAAGGTAAAAGAAGAAAAAAATGCAGAGGAAAAATCCTTCTACTTTGAGGAAAGGCTATTGACTCCAAAGTACTTGGAAGTTGATGATGATATAGTCTCACAAGTTACATTAAGAAGTTCCATTTACTGTAGCAGTTCTCGGACACCTCTAAAAAAAAAAATCTGGTCTAAAACACCTGCTTAGTATATAGAGTCTATAGAATACACAAAATATATCTAGTGGCAAAGAGAAGACTAAACTGATGTTTGCCTAGGTTTCAGTCTCATTCATTAAGATGATCATTCTTCAGGAGGAACAACATGCAGTTACATGATTCAAAACAGAAACATTCATCACTGTCTCCACAATGCCTTATAGCATAAGGTGTAGCAAAGAAGGAAATCCATTTATCTGGCCTAATTTTTCTAAGCAGTTCTGTGGAAGAGATTTGATCCAGCAGAAGCTTTAATTCCAGCCTGTGGAAAGTGAACCTAGATACTAATTCAGCCAACTATACTCCCTGCAAACCAAGGAAAGGATATATCACAATCAAAAGCTAAGTATCCTGAAATACCTCTTGACAGTGGAAGAAAGACCAGTGCTCACAGATCCTCAGTTCCAAATTCAAAATTGGCATTTACCTAAAGATCAAGATCTGAATTTTGTGGATGCAATAGTTTGTGTAAAATTCATGTGAGAGAATACACACATCTTGGAAAAACTGCATATTTCTCTTGCTAGGAAGACAAGAAGTTCTCAGGTCTCTCAAAGATGATTTGTATCCTTTAACTTTATTGCTGTTTGCCAGTCATCATTAAAATAACAAAATGAGACATGCATAAGTTTTTCTTTATTACTCTAACATATAACAGTTGTACAACTTGGAATGCATATCACAACACGTATGTGAAGGCATAGATAAAGTGAATGGGCAGATGTGACAGAATAGGATAACCATAAACCACTCCCTAAGTTAACAATCCCTAAGATACCAATACCTCACAGAAGTAAGATACTTGCAGCTAGTGAATGATGTTAAGTTGCAAAAGCTAGGAAAACTTGACACACGGCAAATCTGCCTCCCAAGAAGCAGCTACTGGCCATCACAGCTTCCTTTGGCTATGATGAAGAAATTTCTAGACCTCTCTTTACATCGGTGCAAAGCACATAGAAGAGTTATGCATTTATTTTCTAAAAGTAGTTAAAACATTATTATCCCAAAACCATTGCCAAGACGTCCTACTGCTAACAGGTTACACTTCAGAAAAGTGTAAAGTACAGTGCACTTTCCAGTTTTCCAACAGTTTCACTCATCATCTCAAATATCAGAGGTTAGACAGTGTTATATACTTCTGTGTACTATTTATATGCACTCGGGTGGTATCAGATTATTCAGACACTACTAGAAGCACACATACACCATGCTACTCACTCTCTACAACGGGCCTGTAAAGGCAGGAATGATGAACTGTTGCACTAAGAGCACCAGAATAAAACCTGCACAAATAAAGCCCAAGTTCAAAATGCAAGGGTGCTTTCAAAGTGAGCTTATGCAAAACTTCATGCTGCACAGCCTCTGACAACCCCTTCACACACCATGGCAAATTGCTGCATCAGTTGATCCCCTGTGATCCTCTGCAAAGCTTTCTAAATAAAACACTCTCCTATGAACACTGACTCTGAATGTACCCTTATGCATGAGGGTGTTCCTGCTAGAACTGTTAAGTATAGTCTTTAAGCTCAGTCAATACACAAGGTGCTCTGACAGCTATGTCTAACAAGTAGGAGCACGTCCTTTGGAGTAACTTCCAAACATCTTGAATTTACCATGCAAGTAAGTTACTAAGGTTTTATTGAGAGGATACTCAGAAACAACTTAATTTACCATTAAAATATTCACACTGTTGCAACAGTAAATCTGAAGCAGGGAACTTAATTTTATATGGTGATTTCCAAACAATAAAAGTATCCATACCCCCAATTAATGGTAACTAAGGCCAGCAGAAATAAGGGACTTGACACAAACTGCAGGATGTCCAGTGCAAATCCACAAACTTTTGTTTATCATCACTCTCCAGAAAACAAAGCCACCTTAGTTCACAGATAGCATTAGCAAGTAGTTAGACCAAACCTCTTTGGTTTGAGCTTTCTGTGAGGAGGACTTAGAAATTAATCTGCCCTTAGAAATATTGGGCACAATGATTGTTGTTTCACTCAGTTTCAAGAGCAACACACACTCACTGGAAATAAATAACATTACTTAAACTCTATCTGTTCCTTGAGAGGTTGCTACTGCAGCTGTAATTGAAAGCCCTTTTCCAGTTTCAAAAACCTGTTGATATACACAAAAGGAAGGCAGTATTTTAAATAGCCTCTCAGCTCAGTTATTTCTAGCAGTATAGCAGTACAAACTGTAAAAATACATTTGTCATCAGCATGGTAAATTTATCAAGTCAAAGAACCATGGCTCACATGAAGCCTGGAGGCTGTACTTAGTCCATCTGCATGAGCATAAACAGTGGATCAGCACACAAACTTTGCCTGAACACCAGATTACTAGTGTTAGACTGGAACTGGCAGCTTTAACATGCAAGTAAATTACAAATGGCAGCCCCTGGTGGTCTAGTGGTAAAGGCGCCGCGCTATCACCGCGGAGACCCGGGTTCGATTCCCGGTCAGGGCCACTCCCGGGCAGGTGGGGCTCGTTAGCCCTTAAAGGCAACCCACCTACGTCCTGAGGACCTCACTGCCACTGTCCAAGCTTGCTTGGCCCCGGCAGATGAACCTTAGGATTAAAGGGTGGGCTCAGTTCCGCGCACACTGTGTCTCACCTAAAAAATCCAATGCGCAGGCTGGAAGGTGGAAAGACCTTCCCCGGATCTTCGCTCGCGAAGACTGGCCATTATTATTATTATAAATTACAAATCCAATCTCTTCACTTTTAGCAATTTAACACCCCCCCAACACTAAAACCAATACACATAATTACCATGCATTTGGTTCCCTTTTCCTAGTTCCCTATAAAAATCATGATTTCAGAAAGTATGGTATGATTGCATGTGTCTCTGAAAGAGAAATGCAAACAGCTTAAAATTCTACTGCACAGCAATTCTTAAATAACTATTTTACATTTACAAACATTAGCAGATACCAACGTGACCAGCCCGTGCATCGTTATTACTTTACAATGCCCAAGAGTCAAGCAAGGCACCTTCCAACACAGCTGCATAGGAATTATTCA